AAGAAAAACTTTTGAAAGAAGACTTATATGATTCGATAGGACTTGCTAAGGCTTCAATAATTGGTATCCATATAGTTTTCTTTGCAAGTTATGATCGTTTTACTGAGTTTTTATTCTGATGGCGTATATGTAATTAAAAATTGAATATAATAATCAAATATCTGACGTTTTTTCTAGAATGAGATCTCATAGTTCTTATTATATGTCAAAAATTTCGACTGGAATCAATGTTTACTTCTTGTCGTATCAAATTCGTAATATATTCGCCTACTTTAAAAAAGACTCCGGAAATCTCATTGTTCTGTTAATTTGATAAACAGGAAAAAACATTTGTTCTCACTGAAAATTTTGGTGAATTGATAGTAGCGATCAGACCTTTTTCTAGGAAAAACCTCAGAGTGCTATAGCCATATCTGACATTACATCACATACGCTATATCAGAACAAAAAAACTCAGTAAAATGGTTTTAACACGATCAGAAAACCATGAAGAAACCAATAGTTTGAGTCTTAGTAAATCCTACCTATTCAAATAAATCTCCTTCCAACAACTTTCTACAACTCGAAAGAGTCATCAGTTACATTTGCATGATCGTTGCTTTTATCATAGATTGGTGAAGAAGACAATGTTCAATCTGACATTAAAACAGTGATACATTTTTCCGATAGCAAATGCATAAATATTTCATTAATATATCAAAATATTTCAGCTTGTGTGACATGTTATCTTTCATTTTCTATTTAATGCCATGCTTATTAATCTTTAATTACTTAACTTTTATTAAAGTATGGAAAGACAAATGATGATAGATGTTCTTCAGTTCTAGTCACAAACTTCTTTCTTCCTATTGTTATTCAGACACACATCACAAATATTAGCCAAATACAGAAAAAAAACTCATTTGAATAGTATGATTTTTACTATCGACATAAAAATAATATCATGATTATGGATTTCGTGGTATTTATTTTTGAATATTCTCTATAAATGAGACAAAATAATGTGCCAAAATGAATTGAGAAGAATCCTAGAAAAACATCCAATTATTAACACGATGTGTTATGTGAACAGCTGATTTCATAAGTTTCTAACAATATTCAAAATAAACATGAACAAATATTTGAAAAGCATTTTCATCATCATAAACTATTGCTGAAGGTCAAGATCCTCACATTTGTAAACAAGAATTTAGTAATATAGTTGATTTAGAAAAATATTTTGAACAGTTTTTTTGAAGTGCTTTTCATAGGATGAAAGTAGTGCTGATGTGTATGATCTTGTATCACTTTTTCTCGATAATATATTTTGTAATTGATAAATACACAAAAGCACTGAATATATCATCATAGAAAACTTCCCAGATACCTCGTTCTGATATCTATGATGTTTTGCTTACAGGTATTCCATAGTACGTATTTTGAAAAGTTCGTATCTCAGACATATGAGGTCAACAACTCCTAAAGCTCTTCATATGAGCTACAGTATACGGATATCTTTAACTGTAGATAGTTCCAAGATGAAATTAAAAAAAACAACGTGACTCTTTCGAAAACCTGAGGTCATTCAGGGCCTCTCGCAAATATACACATTAACAATTTAATAGATTCGGCCAATCTCAACAGGAAATCAAATCTATTTAAGTTTTTCACTAAAATACTATGTAATATCTATAGACAAAAAATCATCAATATTCGAAGAGGACTTTGTGGAAGTTCTCTTGTTATTTAATGATCAAAATACTTATACGAAAAACGAAGTTGTCTTAGATCAACATATGAAGTTTTGGAATGTAGTAATCATTATTAGTTGACACATGCGCAGAGCTTCAAATGTTTTAGTGAAAAAATATTGAAGTACAATTACTTTAGCAACAGCTAACATTGTTATTGAAGCTTCAGAGAAAAAAGCAATAGAAGTGTATAATGCATGAAAAAAAAATATCAGAGATTTTGTCAGGATAATTTTGTTTTTTATTCTATTCCATGTTTTTCTCTGTCTCTCTTTTTGTTTCTATCAGCATACGTCAGTCGTTGTCTGACTTAAGATATTTTTTTTTGTACATATAAGGTTTTGTTTGCTTTACAAAAAAAAGGTGGGCTATATGTCTCGCTTAAATTCTTTCTCTTTTTTATTTCTTCTCTCAAGCAGTATTTCATATACATCTATATAGACATTGGTTGTTGATTAATTCACCTTTAGTTTGTTTACGTGTTCGATTATTGATCTGCAAGAATAAATTCTATTCACAAAAACAAGTTGAAATATTCAAACAAAAACAAATATCATGGGTTTTTCAGAACGATTTCCTCGTTGGATTACAGCAATTATAGCTATTATTATATTGGCATTAACTGCTGGTATTCTTGGTTTAGAAATAGTTTCTAATTATATTGATGTTGGTCATGGTACAATATGGGTCGGAATTTGGTCTAGTATTGTTTATATCATAACATTTCTTATGATGTTTTTTATTAGTAAATATTTTTTTTAGAATTCTTTCTTTGAATTATTCTATTTAATTTTTATTTTTAAAGCTTGTTGTTGCCGAGGTCGTTGTAATGCTTTTTATGTCTTTATTATGGCTAGTATGTAGCAATGATTTTTTTTTTCAATTTGTTTTATTAAAAATTTGATTTGTCTTTTAGTCATCAGTGGCTTATTGGCTGTTGTGACGATTTATTTTGATCAACTTTTTATGAATGATCCATGCAAATGTTATTTGGGTGATGTATTATGTTGTTTACTTCGTGGTGTTCCAATATTCCGTAGTAACTTTACAGGTGTTCTTCAGGAGTGTACTAATGCTCTTACAGCAGGTACAATCTCATCAAAAACATGTCCTTCTACACCCTATGATAAAGTAGCATATATTAAAGCACAATTAGCTTGTGCTGCTGCTATGGCAGTTACTTGTATAGCTTATATTGTTATTTTTCTATTTGCTTGTTTCGGTGTTTGTTTTGGTCATAAATAAGAATGATTATTTTTTGACAATAAATATGTACAAATTGATATCTGTCCAATGGTGACAATTGAACGTTTTTTTGTATAACACATAATGACGTATTTAAATTTTATTTCGTTGCGAATGTCAGCAAACATTGTTGTTATAACATTCGATAGTTTTCAATGTGTTTTTGACGAATAAAAGCAAAAAAATCCAATTAAAATAAAAGGTACAACTATGCTTAACGTTAGTGGTTCCTTGTACATTCACACTAAATAACAACGATAGAAACAAAACAAACAAAGACTTTTCACCAGAGAAAAGATGAGTAACCAACATTGTTTGAAGTGTAAAGCTTCATCTGAAATTTTCAATTTCACGACTGAAGATATATTTGAGTTTTATGAATTTCAATTCTTTTTTATACATTCTTTTATTTAAATTCCATTAAGAATAAAGATGAAAATCACCGTTTGTTTTTATAGTGCCCACCAGAGAGAAAGAAAAACAGATGCATAAAAATTTTTGAAGGTGGTGGCTATGATAGAAGGATGAACTCGCAAGTATCGTTTGTTTACTTTAGATAATATAAAAAAAAGCTTAAAGTTAGGAAGCTTAGAAAAGAAGGGATCATTTCAGAGAGATCTACATATGTATCGTGAAGCTGAATAGGATTTGACTAGGTTTCGAGATTTTTGTTTTCCAATTAATAAACATATCAAAAAAATTTTACTTTTAGAAAACACGAATGTCAATTCTCCAATAGAGTATATGATGAAAGATTTCATTCTGTGTTGTACTTATCATGAAGTCAAGGTCTTATTTTGCTCAAATGGTATCGTCGTTTTCAAATTAAAAAAGAAATTTGATCATTTACAATGAAAGAAATTTCATCAATTGAAGTACTTTTCTTAACATCTCAGAATAAATGACTTTTATCCTGGAATATCATGAATATAATAGTCTACCTCTGATGTATTGTTTTATCCTAACGGATGAAGTAAAAGTTCTGCATTGGTTTTTTTATATGGTGCTGCAACGAATTATTGCAGAGGCTTCATCCTTTTTTTTTGTTAGAAAAAAAAGAGCAAAATGTCTAATATGAAAATATATATTAAAGAATAGATCGGAAATGTTTTCCAAAGACCACGAAAACCTTAGAGCAAAACGTATCGAAAAATGTACAAGAAACTAAACAACAGATAATTCAATTGAAAATTCAATTTAGCGTTTTGTATTCTCATTCACGAAGAAATTATCCAAATTGATATCCACTGTTTGTGTTCATATTGGATTCGCAAGAAGGTCTCAATAAGACTAGAAAAATCCTAACAGGGTTTCTACTAATGAATCATTTCGATCTGAAATTTTGACTATAGATAGGTCTAATGACTCAGGAAATATTCTGGAAGTTTCAGCCGAAAAAGAATGTTCTTTTGCCAAAAAAATCAAGTTTACTTGAAAATTCAATATCTCAACAAAGGAACATTCTTGTCGACTGAAATTTTCAAAATATTCCCATAATCATCAAATCTATCTATGGACTAGATTTCAGATCGAAATTCCGTTATTTGATATTTCGATAAATACCTAAAGCTGAATCAAAAATTCAATAAAACGATCATAACTCGGTCTCAGAGGCCCATGCGTACGAACTCTTTTAGGATTTTTCTTCTCTTACCAAGGCCTTGTGAATCCAATATGAGCTCGAACAGCCGGTATCAGCTTTGGTAGTTCTCTCATGAACCTTTCCAGACAAACCTAAATTCAAAGCATAAATGATATAAGTTTAGCTCAAGTAACATAGTTTTAATTGTCCTGTTTAAAAAATGAAAAATACTTCGATTAAAGAAATAAAACAGTGTGAACGAACAGAAGAAAACAAAACTGATAATTCTTGAAACAACACCTGTTTGATTATTTTGATAAGAACAAACAAACTTGCTCTCAACAAGTTTTATCAGAGAAAAATGGTATATCTATAAAATATTTTCTAACAGGTGAAGACCAGCCAGACAGGACTGGTTACAACTCTAATCTACACTGACTAAATCTGATTTAATTAAAATGTTCCGATCAAACCATAATACTTTTAAGTAGATTATTAATTTATTTTCAATAAATTTCATAGAGTTGACTAAACATTTTACTTTGTATCAGTGACATCTGTCTGACAAAGATGTCTACTCGCTCACTTGCCTGCTATTTCATTCATTCGTTTGTTTGTTCTGAATCTGTTTTATCTTCATTTTTATTATATTCTAACTAAAGTTTCAATTAAAATTTCACGATGATATCTATGCCATTCACTGTATCAATTGATAATACTCGAATACTTCAACCACCAAATGGTGATGAAAAATATACTGTAAAAATATTTTCTTTATGTTCTTTTTTTTCTATTGAAAAATTCTTTTTCTTTTTCATAGGTTTATCAAGTAACTGTACGCGGTGGTTCAAACCATATATCTCATACAATTGATCGTCGTTATCGTGAATTTGAAGCATTACACACACGTTTATCATCAAGTATATCTGTTCCACAATTACCACGTAAAGTTTTATTACATCGTCGTAGTGCAAAGTTAATTGAACAACGAAGACAATCACTGGAAGTTTATCTAAATGATATATTAAAACGATGTCAACAACAATCAATAATGCCAGAAGAATTAGGACGTTTTTTACAAATTCCACCATATGATAATGAAGATCAAGTAAATCAAAATGATCAACAAGAACAAGATTTGAAAGATGATGAAATGAAAAATGTTCTTGAACATGGACCATGTATTGCTATAAGTGATTATTGTCCATGGAATAATGATAATCGAGGTTAGGTTTTTTTTGTTGTAATTTGAAAAAGAATATTTTGATATTTTTTTTTTTCTGTATTTTAGAAACACTTGCGGATTCGGTGCTTTCTGGTCTAATGTATTCAATGTATGATATGTAATTCTTTTTTTTTAAGAGATTTTGGAAAATAAAAAATATATTATTTTTATATTATTATTTGAATTGAATTTTCAAAATGAATGGAAAAACAAAGAATGATTTTGTTTTGCAATAGCTCACAAGGCATTGTTCCTTGCTTAATTTTTTTTTTAGAACTTCAATCAGAAACTCAGAACAAAATTCGAGTATTACTCCTCTATTCTCATGTTGCATAACAGGATGATTGATATATCAATTGACAGAACAGAAAAGAAAAAAAGCTTGATGCCTACTACAGGGATCGAACCTGTGACCTTCGCTTTACGAGAGCGACGCTCTACCACTGAGCTAAACAGGCACATGGATCAAAAGCTGAAAAAAACTTGTCATTATATATACTCAGATTCTCTATACTTAGAAGTTTACTTTGTTTTTTTTCGCTTACTAATCGTTGAGTTCAATTGTCGGGCTCAATATTTAAAGAGAGAAAGCAATCGAAAGAAAGAATACAGCGAATTACCCACTATGTGACCTTCTTTTAGGTTAAAGTATATATACACAGTTAGTTCAACAGAACGAGTAAAATTTCGTCTATCTATATAATACAGTTGTTACCAGTGTACAGTTGTGAAGAATCTTCATAGATATGAAAAAAATCTTATTGTTTGTTGTTGTATATCTTCTTATCTTAGGTAAGATATTACCGATAATTGATGTGTCTAGTGATTCAAATAGATTTTTTTACTAGCTATTGAATCTGCTCGTCGTCATCGCCGACAATATACTGGATATGGTTATGCTCAACAATATGGTTTACAATATGGACTTTATGGTCCAGGTGGTCAAAGATGGATGAATAATCCTTATTCAAATCAACAAGGTTATAATTGGAATAATATTCATAATATGAATCAAGGTAATCGACGTCCTGAATGGTATTATAATACAGCAAATATCATGAAATCTTCAATTCTCTGTTTTGTACTTTGTATATTATATATTCTTATTGTTTGAATAAATGAGAAATTTTCAATTAACACACAGCATGCCTCTTTTTTGTGTGTAAAGAATGAAAGGTGTTATCAATTTGACATGTTGGATATTGTCAATCTGTTTATTGATTGGTGCTCTAGTTCATATTGATCTATCTTCAATCATCTATGCTTTACTCTGTTTGACTATATTTTGGATGTTTATTCGGTCAACTGTTACTCGTTTACGATTCTTCTTTTTTTATCTTGCATTGAATTGTTTTCTACTATCGGAATTTTAAAAGCAGGCACTTGGAAAAAAAGCTTATAACTTTCGAACGAAAAGTCATAGCGGCTTGCGGTTTTCAGCAATCGATAGAAGATTAGAGGGGGCACATTTTTATATAAAAAGCAAGGTTTAAATAAT